GTGTGTGTGTGTGTGTGTGTGTGTGTGTGTGTGTGTGTGCTCGTGTGTGCGCGTAAGCTGTGGCTGTAATCGTGGGGCGAGGTGAGGGAAGGTGTTTCGAGTAACGCGCGCGAATATCGTCCACAGTGCAGTGTGACTGTGTGAATGTGTGCGTGCACGCTCGCGTGCGTCCGGGAGTCGATGTGTGCGTGCGTGCGCGAGTACGTGTATACTATAGTGTGAATGTGTGCGTGCGTCTGATACAATATTTTGGTGCAGAAAAGAGCTTTACGTATCCGCCGCGTGCGATCGGGTCCGTGAGGAGGAGAAAAAAAACATTGGCAATAGATAATGGATTGCGCTCGTGCGTGTGTGCGCTATCTAGCGACGACGTACTGATACGGCGAGCGGATTTCGTACCGGCCGGGCGTTGATGTTACAGAAGCCTTAACATAATTCTGTGGTCGTCGACCGCGCGCGGGTGGCAACACCTACGGAACCTGCAACAGTGCCGGCAACGTAATCGAGGGGGGCGCTCGCTTTCGCGTACTCACGGTCCCGCGCAAAAATTGATCATGCGCGCCGCGGCACGGCTGCTCCGCCACCGTTCCATGTTATCACCATATGGGTTTACGACGCGGTTCGTCTGCTTGCAAGTACGGCACACCGCCGCGGAGTGCACTCCTGGAGCGGTATCGCCCCGGCGTGTCAACTAGAAGGCCGATACGCATGTGCTCAAGACGCGGTCCGACTATTTCTGAACAACCTCCGGTAATTAGATACAAAGTTTAGAAGTTAGGTTGTGCAAGATTTGCAGATCGTTTTCCCGCGAACTAACCAAGCCGAAATCAATATTTCTACGTAGATGTTGAACGCTCCCCCCTTTATGTGTTAATGGGTCGGCCATCTGATGGAAATTTTCAAATGTCGACGCGTTACGTTGTACTTACACGACATTTTTGGTAATAATATGATTTTATTAAAATTAATCATTTTCTTATTTTTTTCCTTCTCCGTGGAGATTTCGTGTCACCCCTACACTATGTCCATGTCAACCCAGTTGAGGAACATTGATCTACTGGAATAAAACTTATCAAAATTCGTTCTACATTCAAGCATAAATTATATACTTGATTTATATGGAGGGTTGGTGGTAAATTTTGACTTAATTCTGGAGCTTTCGTCACCCAAAATAGGGTTAAAACCCACAGGTTCAAGACCACTGTTTTAAACAACACCCCCGGTGTAAACAGTTATGTTTTTAGTAGTTCTTAATGGGAATGACTAAATTAAATCCATTATTCCCCCCCCCCCCCCCAAATAGCTTCGATCACCAAAGTCATAATCGATACTTTCTAGACTGGGGATATTAAACTCCATGACAAGTTTCTATACCCCAACGACTAGCCACGGCCGCGAGAGAAGGCGTATTCAGGTCATGAAGATAGCAAACAAATTTTTAATATTATTATTATTTTTCCTGAAACATTCAAACTATAATAAATCATCAGCGTTAGACGACCGATCTATCCTTTTATTACTGCTGTAAATAAAATTAACTGTAATCTATTTTCTAATCGATTTCTATATCAGTCTCCGCTTTATTTTCATACCAAATAGTTATAATTTCTAAACTTATGTAGTTATTGTCGAAGACCGATGAATGTTTCACTTTGATTTATGGAAAAAATAAAAAATCGACGCCACGCTAAATCGGTCATGATACACGTGTCAGCTAATTGCATTTAAACAACGAATTTAAGTGTGATTGTTTTTTTTATGATTAACGGACATTAATTTATTAGACGAGATTTAATTTTTGTTCGAATTCGTGGGGTATGTACCTACGTGACAATATTTTTCGTAATTTTTAACTTATATAAATGTTTTCAATAAATCTCTGATTTAGGTTTGTTAGTAATGAATAATAAAAATAATAATAATATTATAAATACCTTAAAAATATTTATTAAATTACTGTTTAATATATTCTAGGCGCAAACTATTTAATCGTCTAATTATGCGATATAAATTAAATAAATTAGCTGGGTCTCAAATTTTTAAACGTTAAAATATACTTTATATACTTTTCTTTAAGTAAATATTCACTAATATTGATTCAAATCAATAAAAACATATTTTGTATAGGTTTGGTTTCTATTATTATTTAGAAATGTTTAAAAGCACTCGAATACTGGATAAGTACGTAGGTACTACCATTGATTATGAATGGCATTACATTTATTTTAGCTTTGAAAAAAATTCTTCAGATTAGTTTTCTATTTAGATCTGGGTATCATATTGTTAAATCTAAAAACTAAAATCTAAAATTTTAAAATTTGTATAAAAATTCTAATGAAATAAAATGAACGAAGAAAATAATAGTTTCTAACTTTCTACTAAGAAAATATACATGAACATTTTTATTTTTCAAACATAAGACATTAAAAATTTTCAATAATACAGTTAAGTGTCATAGAAAACAAATGTAATTATCTAAATTTGTGTTAAATACAGATATTTACGTGTGTACAGATGTTGACATTTTTTTTGAAAATATATTATTTTTTACATTTTATGATTCAAAGTTAGTTAGAAAGTATTTTAAGCTTAAAAAACCTAAAAACTACTTTAGAATTCGTAACTTTTGACGACAAAACAAAATAATTGAATAGTATAAATTTTAAAGGATTTTTCAAATTACCAGTTAATTTTCAAGAAAAATTAACAATAAAATATTGGAAAATGTTAGCACGAAGCCGCGAAAACTCGATTAAAACATGTTTATAATTGTTGAGTGAAGTTAGCTATAAACCGTCTTTTAAAAATCTGATAAATATTGTTTTAAACTGTATTACTTTAGTTAGCAAATACATGTGTAAGTAAATGTCGAAATTACTAACCATTTTTTTCACCACAACTGTTGTTTTTAACAAATTCAATTGTATTGTAAATAGAAACATAGTATGCTAAATAACTACATTTTTGGATGCTAACTTATTCGAGAATTAGTGATCGGATAAGTGACTTAACAGAAATTGGTCGGCTGGCGATTGATCTACCGTTCCGCCACGTCACGTCTTAGGAATATTAAACGTCTTTTTAAAGTTTACATCTGAATAATAGTATAGTGATAAATATAAAAATCTCTAGTCACTTTAGTTACAAAATAATTTAGTTAATAATTAGTAATTAGTTTAAATTGTTTTCAAAATGTACCTTACGTTTTAATGTTTTTTACAAATTTAACTAATACAGCAATATAATCGTACATGAATTGTAAAAAATTATAGCTAAAAACGAAAATTATTAAAAATAATTTTTTTTAATTTTTACGAAAATTGTTAACACTTGTTTGTAAATAATTTAATAAAGCTATATGAATGTGGTTAGTCAAATATTTTTTTTAGTCCTTATTTTAAAAAACATTTTGATGTATATTTTTAGGGTTCAATATTCTATGAAGTTTAATTTCACTTAAACACTAGTGAACTATTTTTTACCTCATTTTACATACTAATAAAGACATTATAAAATATGTACACAAACCCGCACTCATATTTTATTTGTTTGCATGTTAAAAATATTATCTATTTCAAAATTGTTGTAGGGATGTATTACGTGTACAATATCATAGGTATACATAATAAGATAGCTGTTCTTAATAATAACAGGTAATGAACATTGTGTTACATTTTTATCGTTTTGTATCTTTGGTAAAATGGTTTTATTGTATTTTATTTTATCTATGAAACGGTGAGTACAGTGACACAATTTAGATTATAGGTATAATATGAAGAATATTTTATTAGATCATTGGTTCTCAAACTGTTTTATATAGACTTCTTTGTAGTTGTCATACAAAAGTCTATACAAAAATTAACTCAATAAATACTAATATTAATAAAATAAAGATATTTTTATTGGTATCATGTTATTTTAAAGTACATGGGATCTAATTATGGAACGACTAGGATATTTTAAGACAGATCTATATTTTCGAAAGAACAGTTTGAGAATTGTTGTCTTGTAGAAATTTCAGTATATATGCATTCATAAAATACTTAAACTTTCAAGTGTTCAAATAGATGTACACAAACTATATAAAATTAGATTAAAACGGGTTTTTAATATTTATAAAATAAAGACATTTGCGAATTTTTTCTGAGAAATGGTTAGATAAGGATGTTTTAAATTATTTATTTATATAGATTGAATAATATTTTTTAAGTAAATACATTTTCAGAATAAATTAATTTAATACTCTTAAATACATTGTACGTTATTTTTTGTTTTTAATTTTAGAATTTAATAAATTTATTTTAAATTTTCCATCAATTTCGTGAAGATATTATTTTGGAGCAATTACTCCTTTAAAATTTGATAGTGAGTTGGTAGGTTCTGCTATTTTGGATTTAACAATAATACATTAAAATTTAATAATTTATTTTATAAATAAATAATGCAACTTGTATGGCATCATCACCGGAATGTTATTAATTAACTAATTAAGTGTGAACGAATTACGAATATCTGTATAAATATAGATATATTTTGTAGACAAAAAATATATATAATTTTACATGCATAATAGGGTTGGCTAAATTCAAAGGAATTTCTTGTACAGTGTTAAGAAACAAAAATATTTAAAAAAATGTTTGTCTTCACAAAATAATTTAATCAAAATAAATGGAAGAAATATTAAGCTGTGAAGTAAACAAAATTTATTGCGATGGATTATCGATATCAAACATTTTTTTTTAGTTTTTATTTTGAGATAGACAATCTACATAAATAAATATATCATAAAAATATTTGATATAATGACATACATTTGAGTGAGAAGGATTGATGAACGAAGCCATTCATTAGTGACACTTAAATTTTATTATTTAATTATTAACTTGAAGGAGAAATATGTAAAAATAAACTTAAAACAAACTAAGTATTATATTTACCAAGTGTTATGCAAAGTGTTATAGATTTATCTAGAAGAACTAACTTAAAATTTTCGAAAATCAAATTAATTTATATCTGATGTTTATAATGTAATTAAATCAATTAAAATTATGAGTCCAATAGTAAATTAAAACTAGACTATTTTTTTTTCAAAATATAGGTGTATCTTTAAAAAAATATAGAACAGTTATGGTTATTTTTAATTAAATAGATTATTATTTAAATATTTTCAAACTACAGTAGGTACATATTATGAGTAATTATTAACTAAAAAATGACGATTTTATTTAGAAAAAAATGAATAAATTGAAGTACTATTATTGATTGATTATAAAATTTTTTATAAAATCTATTTCCAATCTCAATAAAAAAATAATATGCAAATTTTTGAAAATTATTGGTCACATGAAAACATTTAAATTATTTTATTGCAGGTAATAGTCATTTGGAGCCACCAATGAATTAATTTAAGTTCAAGTAATGTTTACAGTAGGTACCAGTTAGCTACGCATCAAAGTGAATTGAGTCGAAATAGGGTTATGTTATGTCTTTATATAGCGTATGGGATGATTATTATAGCTAAAAGCAGGCGTGAACTCGGAGCGGTTTAGAGGTTCATCCCTCCTCAAAATATCTGAAAATAATTACGTCTCACAAATTTAATAGTTATATGAATGTTTTCCATAAGAATTGCATATAAAATGTAAAAATATATATATTATACAATGAGTAATAAAGCATGTTATCAACATTTTTAATTTTTTTTTAAATTTCTCTCTTCGAAATGTTTTCCTTCGTTTGCTTCTGGCTAAAATGATTTTTGCAGAACAGTGTGCAATGATTTCTTATTAATTATTTAATGAAAATAATTTATAGGGATTATATTTTAAACTTATTAAGGATGGTATGTAATTACTCTAGGTGGTCTGATTGGTTTGTTTCAATTAGAAATAAAATTCGAAATATGTTAACATACAAAAATTAAGTTTTATTCATTGAATAGAACTTCAAGTAAACTTCAATAAAAGTGATAACAGCCCGGACACTTTAGGGAATAATAAAATAAATATGTCCTTACAAACAATTCTTATCTATCAATGATGTAATTCTTAATTTTTCACTGTTTTATCGTTTTATAAGTAATTACATAATCCGACTGCTCATAAAAAAAGATGATTAATTAATTTTAATCCCAATAAACCGAATGAAATCGATGCATTTTGTTTTATTATACGGTGATGAAATATGTTCTTAAAAGGATAAATAAGTAAGTGTTAAATTTTATCATGGGACATTCGTTAATGATGGCTAAATTAATATTGTATTAAATGGTACGTTCACGTAAATACTTTTACAAATTAGATATGATTTTTTGCGAGTTTTACACTGTCAATTCTATAATATTACTTATTTAAAGGTATTAAGTCGAATTATTTTTTAATTAGAATATCATTTTTATTATAGAATGTAAAAAATTGATTAGCCTTTTGAGCGAATACCGACATTTTTATTGGAATGTGGTTGATACTGAAATAATTTTTATTAACTTGTAAAGTTATGTTATTGTTTGATTTAAATACAAGTATAGGAGGCAGGAGTTATATATTCTGAACGATTCGTAAAAAATATTGATAAATTATAACATTAATAAAATTTTTTATCAATACAGTTGTAACAATATCAATCAAAACCTCAATTCACAAACAAACGTTGTAAGACGTACGCATAAGGTATTTGATTGCAAGACATATTAATTGAGTTTTAAATAGATCTGTCAAACATTTCATTATGAAAATAATATACAAAACTAATAATTTTTAGCAGTCATAATGTGAAGCTATAAATGGGTTTTCGCAACCATTCGTAAAATATATTGTATAACGCGTGATATAGTGTATGATGTGCATACGTATATAATATTGAGTGTAATTATCATAGGTAATATTTGTTCAAAATAATAGCCAACATTATGTGTTCATAAATTGTTCTTTTTCGCATTAAAAAGAGCTAACTCGTAAATATTTCACTCTAATTTCTTTTAAAATGACATCAGTTTATCGTATGTAACGCGAAATCGGTTAAATGGTTACATACCCTTTTTATTTTATATTTCCGATTTTTTAAACCACTCCGGCGGTGGATTTGTAGTTCGTGTGGTGACAGAAACGAATAAAAACATTTTAAAATTAGTTTCAGATTTTCCCAATGAGTTTTTTGCCTTTAGTTGTTCTTTCTAAAATTCTAGCTACTTTACTCCATAAAATTATCCTTGGTAAACCACCCATGTCTATTAAACAACATCACCATGAAAAACAATGGACCCCCCGCAGCTTAATTCGCCGATTTCTGTCTTAAGTAAATAATTCGGATATTATCGTCTGGACACTGCTATACGCACCACATGTCTTACACAGTTGGAACATGTTGTTTTTCAGAGAAAACCGTAATATACGGTCCGCAATCGCGTGCACCTACACAGCGTGGGCTCTCACCTGTAGTGTTCTTCTTGTTTACGATGAACCGTGTAAGACTGGACTGACGGATCATAGCTGTGGACTTGATGACAAATTTGTGCGCGTGTGATGTGTGCGAGCCGCCTTGGTCGGTAGCCCGGGATACACGTGTTTTCGCTCCTGGCGGCGCGTCCGTCGGCCGCCATAAACCCACCACCTCGGTGTGACGCATTTCGTCTGTCACATGGCCACGGCAACCTGTGAACACCGATGCAGCACATAGTTAATTATGATTTGATTGCAAATAATAACAGTGTGCACTGGAGAGGGAAAGTTATTTATTTGCCAACACGTGGCAGGGGTAGAATCGTAATAAAATACGTGTACAGCGAGTCAGTATAATCCATATTAGGAAATACCAACACCAGTAGTAGTTTTTCGAAACCGCAGTAGGTATTACTGCAGTGCAGAGTTATTCATTCGGTCGGTTATCTTAGATATGTACAACCAAGGCTATAGTCGGCAAAATATTTTTTTGGGGGACTGAGGTTAAAGTATGGTTTTTCAGTAGCAAATTTTAAAATTTTAAAATTAATAGGCATTTAAAAACATTCAATTTTATTTTGAGAAAAAATTCTGGGGGGAGGGGGTCTGAATCTTGTTGCCCTGATTATGGTTTTGAATACAACGGTTTTAAAGGTTTTAAGACTGAACAATGATGTAAAAATTTAATTTAATAATATCCATATTATTTTCATATCGTAATAAATTCAATCAAAAGGTCATTTTCCCTTTTTTTAAATACCCGTCCGCATCTATTCCTTACGCAGAAATGACTTGATCAATAAATTGGTTGTTCGAAAAAAAAAAAACGGAACAAACAGATTATAATGTCATAATAATACAAAATTATGTAAAATTAAACTGTCTCCGAGTAAAAATCCTGCAGTCAATAAATTTATCTCTGTAATTTAATTACAGTACCAGGCGTTTTTTGGTCTGCAATTTAATTTAATTATTAACAATATTGATAAATGGAACAAATAAATTGTGTGAGCCGCAGTGAACGAGGAAGATTCCAAAATTAAGTGATTAATAATTATAGTAAATTATTATAATAATTAATTATTGTTTTAACAATATTATAGGAAATCAATTTATAAAGAATAATAAGGGTTATTCAATTTCTGATTGTTTTATTGTTTTGAGATTCATTTTTTGTTTTTTTTATCTTTTATTATTATTTTATTATTAACGACAAAGATACATTCGTATCATGTCCGGGAAGATATTCGCTGTTGATTGAATATTATTTTTTTGGAGACAAATCATGGGCGCATTGGATAATGGTCATGACATATTATTATACGCTTGTACTACTCTGATACAAAAAGAAATTCAACCAAGCGTTGAATTTTAATCTATTTATTAACTTGGATGATTTTCACATCACATGGCGAGAATTGCATGAACAGTATAGAAACTAAAAAAAAATTTTAAATTTTGATCCTTTTAATAAAATAATAAGTAACTTAATGGATTTATTATAAATAATTTGAACATAATACATTTTATAAACGTATACAAATAATTACTGTATTTTGTTTTTTACTTTTGTTTATATTTCTCGTATATTCAAAGGCAGTGGTGGCTTGAACTATTTTTTCTTGACTCACAAAAATAATATTATTACACCATCCACCCTAAAAAAATTGTGACTGCTACTAAAAGGTGAATTCATAGGTTTTCAGTGGATAAGTAATGGATATTTAATTGTTACATGTAGTAAATATATATCCTAGTATCACCCAAAACCAATTATACTTATATTATATGACAAATCAACCCCCCACTAATATTTCTGTGAATCATGTGATTTAAATATACCTCCTTCAAACTACCACTATTCTAAGGCTTACATATTATATAAATAATTATAAAACTGATAAACCTTTAAGTATTTTATATTAAAAAGATTTATTTATTTATTCAATCATTTTAAAATATGGATTATTACTATGATTGTAACTAAAATCAATAAAGTGTATTATATATTAATGTAAACAGAAACTTTGAAAATTTATTTAATTCCTTAGAATAGTTTCATTCGTTTTCATAATTTTTAAAACTTCATGTAAAATAAATATGGTTAGCTAATAGTTAGTTTAAATCATTGTTAGATCATTGGTTAGAGAGTTTTTATTTAATACCTATCTGTTTTATGTTAAATTAGGTTACCTACATGAAGTATGGGATGTATATATTTTATTGTGGAAAAAATGTGGTTTCATCATACTTTTATCGACATCAATTTCATATTAATTAATGTTTATTTATATTTCTGGTAGTTCATAGTCGTCAAAGATAACATTTTGTTTAAACAAAACTATTTAGGTATTTGAAAATTTCAATAAAGCTTTGAGCACTAATTATCGATTTGAATTAATTGAAGTTCTGCATTTTTTTGTGTTAAAAAATATATTCAATTATATAAATAAATAATGATTTGTGTAGTATAATTATTACACTTGATATGTTGTGTAATATAAATTTTACGAGTTACAATAGTTAAAAGATATATGATCGACTGAAAATGAATTCCTGGTTAGTGTGGATTTAAAGGTGTGTCTAAGCTCTAAGATTATGACCTACATGTTCGATATGACAAAAGCAATGATAAAATAGAATTACTTTAGCTTGCAAATAATATGTGATAAAAACATGTTTTTTACGAATAGGGTAAGACAAGGTCTTCTGGGTGTCAAGGGCAATTAATCAAAACTTTCTCTATTCGTTTTTTTCTTTGTCCATTAATTCTTTTTATTAATTATTAATTGTTATGTTATTATGATAAATTTAACAAATAATATCAAAATAAAAATAGCTAATAAATAGCAAATCAAATGTTATAAGTAATATAACTTATTACAATTAAATAAATAATATCTAAGTAAGTGCTTTCCTCTAAGGTTACTAGATATAAATAATATATAGATATACATATTAAATGAATTATTTCTTGGTAATTTAAAAAAAGTTTAGTATTTTAAAACATCAAAACACCGAATTTAAATAGGAAATGGTTTAGTAATTTATGGAAAATAGTTTATCTGATAGTTAAATGAAATTGTAGAGAATATATTATTTTCAGACAACAAAAAAATAAATCATATTTATTATTCAATAGTTGATACTAGTGATGGGAATTATTCGAATATTCGAATTTCAGTATTCGATACTACAATATAATACGTAACAAACATTATTCGTTTAAGTTTTCGCACAACAAAAAACGTTTAATAATAATATTATATGGCTTATGGTGCATAAAGTCCTGCGAGAAGCCAGCGATATTTACTATTTGACAGGGCAATTAAAATACAAAAATAAAAATTGTGCAAAATACTCGAATATTATAATTAAATTATTATTAATACATACAATTATTATTAATACAGTATAAACTATAAATCACTAACGCGAGCATCACTTATGACGAGATATTGCTTACAATAAGCAAAACGTTAGGTCCCGGCACGGCATATATGATTGTATGTTAAAATATACGTCTACAACGAGTATGGTTATTACGAGTTATTGGCTATAACGAGTATAATAAAGCTAACTATGAACAAGTACCTGCAAGAAGAATTATTTTCGTATCAATCATTGACATATATTATCTTTAGTCGTGTAGATATGGATTACTTATTAATAATAAATAGTATAAAAAGCTTGTCATGGAAAAACGGATAAAACAAATTAGGTATTGTAGCATCGAATACTGGTATTCCAATATACCTTACATTACTATAGTTGATACTAGTTGATAATTGGACTTAATATCAAAAAAAGGTTATTAATTTATTCGCATTAAGTAGAACCCACTATATTTTCAAAGTGGCTGTTGTGATTCAAGGTTTTTGATTATATCTATACGATATTGGTGGATACGATTAAATAAGATTAATAATATTATTTTCTGTACACGGCTTGTGTGAACTCATTAACATAAAAAAAAAAAATTCGGAAATCCAATTTAAAAATTCATATCTTTGTTATTTTTAAAGGCTTACAATTCTAAGTCTATTTCAATGTAATAAAAATAAAGTAGGTACGCATGTAGAAATACATACTCATACTATGTATAATTTTAAATTGTGAGTTTCTAGATAAACACTGAAAGTTACAAAATTATTTCACAATTCTGAGTAAAAGTAATTATGAATGGTTTTTTGAAATAGTTTACCACAAAATCCACTTAAAAGCGAATAACATATTACACTTTCAAAAGTATAGCTGGTATATACTTTATTTGATGTTTATTATAAAATTGTAATAATGTAATATTGTTTATTATTTTAAATTAATTTAATTAAGAAAATATCAATAGTACACTATTAAAATCAGGTTAAACAATAATTTAAATGTTCTTATTTATTAATAAGTATTTAATAAAGAGGTATATTTCTACTTTACGGGACACCTTATTTTTTGCATTTTTTTTTTTTAACTTATGTAGTTAAGTACGCTGAAAATGATGGTGAAGTTAGAATTTGGCGCTCGGACATAGTTTTGAAGTTATTGCACTTCAAATTTACTATATATTATATTAAATAATTTAGAACATACCTAATTTTCGAATGTGGTGCTGTAGCCCAGTGGCAATATCTATAGGCAGTAAATGTTACGAGTTCCAAATCCCCCATATCTCGTGAAAACTTTTTGCACTTTTTTTTTAATGTACATGGTATTCAATAATATTATTTCATTAATTTAATCATTATTATTATTTAAAGCTTGAATTTATCATTTTGCTATCGGTTTTATGCTTCAATTATAGTAGACCTTTATAAATGTGTAATAAAATATTTATTTGTAATACCTTATATTTGTGGTTGAAACATGTGATTTACTCGCGCAGCGAGGTTTTAGGTTCACATACAAATCATAATCCTATCCGCAACATTATCAACGTTTGTACAAAAACTAGGTTAGGCTTAGATTATAATTCCTCTTGGAGTGAAGCCCCATCCCACCGAAAAGTGGCATTCGAGTTTGTGAGTGGAGCCGGCCGGCGTAACGAGCGAAGTCCTAAAATTTTTAAAATTACAGTTCCAACTTTTCGAAAAAAAATGTAAATAATTTTCATTAGGATAAGAGATCAAAACCAGATACAAAATTATCGTAAAAAAAAAAAAAAATGCAAAAATTGATTTAAATCTGTACGATTTTTAACCTCGAACTCGGTTCCGTAG